TTCATTTGTCAAACAAAATGAAAAAAGAAAATGCGAAATTATTAGAAAAGTTTAGTGGCCCATTTACAATAAAGAAAAAAATTTCTCCAGTAATTTATGATGTTGTAAATGAACAGGGGAAAATTTTGCGTCATGTTCATTTAAAGGACCTGAAGAACTTCGTTGACGACATTTCCAACCAATAATAAAATTTTCCCCCCAAAATTCTAAAGTCAAAGACCTCTAAAGAAAAATAAATCTTATTTCTTAGAATTAGGAGTATAGTTCCTCAAAGTCACCCGCGATGGAAACATTGAAACGTTTAGCACAGCTCGAGCGCGAGAAAATAAAAGAAGACGCGTTAGACCTAAATAATTTAAATATTTCCATCTACGAATTCGACATCGCTTACCAAAAAATGTTCGACGAGAAAAAATCGGTTGTAGATATAATTAAACCAGAAAAAACTATCGCTCCATTACAACCGTATTCAGGACGAATCACCGAAAAATGTAAAGTCCTAGCTCCAACACAAAAACCACCACGTTTTCAACTCGAAAGAAAAATTGTTGAAATACCGCCGTCCATCCATAAAGGAAATTTCGAAAACACCATGCTGAATATCTGCAAAAAAGAAGAAGAGAGGATTAATATTGAAAAGTACGAGAAAATTAAGAAAAAAATTCAAAATTCAAAACTACCTATTTTAAGCATTCCAAAGTTAGTTGTACCCGCGAAACCTACCCCCAAAAAGAGTGGAAAAATTACCAAGCGAACCCCAACACAATTATCGTCGATGAAATTAACAGCAAAAAAGAAAATAATGAAACAGATGAAAAGTCCGAAGAAAATTAACCCGCTACACACTGCACCTAAAAAAGAAAAATTACAAATTATTAAAAATAGAAAAATTAACAAACCAAATATTATTTCCGACGTTTTACTTACAACTCCAATAATTGTAAAGAAAAACAAACCTTCTCCAAAACCACTATCTTCAGATTGCCCGAAGTCGTTTGAAGAATTATTCAATAGTCTGCAAAACACCATCAACGAAGTCGATCTAAATAATAACACTGCCGAAAATTCTAAGGAAAATCCAATTCCTCTAGTAAAGGAACTTTCAAAACTTCCGTTCAAAATTTCTAAACTTCCTGGAGGACCATGGATTAAAGTTCCGATTGGCCCCGCTCGTTATCGGTTGCCCGTCAACGACGGCAAATGGATCTTAAGACTGGATAGAACCAACGGATTCATCAAAAAAGCCAGAAAAATTTTGTAAGTGGTACTGAAAATCTTTTTTTTTTTTTATATATATATTTTTGTATATTACATTCCCCTAGACGCTCATTAGAATTCGCTTTTTTTAGTAGGGGGGATGTAACGAAAGTATTTTATTTAAAATATTAATTTGAAACGAAAGTATTTTATCAGCATATTATTTCAAATTATTTCAATGCATGAATATATATCTATACGGTTGAGCTCTCAGCTCGACAGCCAGGAGGAGAGTACCGAACGCGCACACTTTGCCGCGCAGCACGTGGCCTCTCTCACTTCGCGCCATAGCTCCCTGTAGAAACGTCAAGCGCTATATACTTGCTTGCACGTACAGTTTCCTCAGTTCGCCGTCGACCGGACTCGAGGCACGTCTCGAGGCTGGACGACAGCAGCTCTCTCCTTTCCTCCTACTCTCTTCCTTTCGAATCTATCGCCGAGGGCGAGGTACGTCTCATTCCCGAGGAATGAGATCATCCTCCCCAGGGCAGGCGGACCACAGGTACATCTGTGCTGCTAGCCCTGCCTACCTCATCCTCGAGGACGGTATCTCAGGTACATCTGGGGCCGACCTGGTGGATGTATTCCTACAGAAGGAGTAGTACTCAGGCACCTTGCTGCAGTAGTAACTCCCTTCGCACTCCATCTTCTCTTACCTGCCGCGCAAGGTCTGACCAGGGGTACATCCGTGGAAGGCTGACGCGATCCTGACCCGCCATTCCTGGAGAACCGACCCTGTGAAGACGAGGTACATCTCGCTCTTCGCCGAGTTGATGCACCAGGTATTATTCTTCAACTCGAGGTACATCTGGAGGGAAGAATAACCTGTAACTTTCCTCTCTCTCTCTTTCCGCACTAGCTTCGCGTAGAGTATGAATGTCGTACGGAAACGGCATCTAGAAATATTGATTAAAAATAATCACTAGTCGTGCACGAAACCTAGTTTTCGCTCGTCTCGTAGCAAGGGGCGAAATTCTAGAATCTCCCTCGCGGAAATAATTATTGAGCATTCCACCCGAGGAAAAATACAAAATGGCGAGAACTAAATATTGTTTCTTTACAGTATTGCGGCGGATCAAACTCAGCACTAGTGCAGCACCACAGCGGCGTACCGTCTCGTTCTTTTCTCTCTCATTTCTTTATTCTCTATTCTTTTATTCTTCTAAATTCTTCTATCATCTTACTTCTTTTAAAATTCTTTATTCTTTATTCTTTTCCACTTCTTTCATTTACAATTAAGTTAGTTAGTTAGTTTCGAATTTATTTTATTATTGTTAATTTAGTTAGTTTAGGATTTCTTTATTTTTGTATTATTATATATTTTTTGAGAGTTATCGAGCAGTTTGATTTTAGTCATTTATTTTATTGTTATTTTCTTTTATATTGTTTATTATTTCTTTTCTTTACATTTGTTTAAATAAAAACTGCTTTCGAAGGTTTAAATCATCGCCTCGTTATTGACTTTACCTACCTGTATATCGCGATAATACCATTTATGTTTTTATAAGAGCGCAATGAACTCAAGAGTTCCTAAAATTTAAGACCCGGACTCATCCGGCGAGCAAATCTTTTGGCTTAATAAATTCAGATCATTACAAACAAAATAAGCTGGCGAACTACTACCAGCCCCGACCCACCAAAAACCCGTCAACCCTTCTTGGGAGCCCTTTTATCCACCCTCGGTACTGTCGTGAAGACTTTTGCCTTCGAGGGTGGCGCTCCAACTCTGTCGCAAAAGCGACTTTGTCCATTCCTGCGGACATCCTGCGTTATCAATTTTAAAATAAAACTATAATCAGTGTCAGGCGTAATCAACAGCACACCAGAAAAGAAAACAATAAAAAGTCAAGAAATAAAATAAAAGTAAATTAAACAAAGTCAAAGATAAAATTGTAAAAAGACAGATGAACAAACAAAATATAACATAAAACTGTAAAAAGACTAAAATAAATAAATAAATAAACAGAAAATTGTAAACAGACAATAAAAGGACAAAATAAATAATAAAATGAACAAATAAATAAATAAAAAATAAAAACTTTATGCTGTTAATTACGCCTTTCTGCGGCCATCGAGATCCTTTCTTATCATAACAGAGATGATAAAGGACTCGATGAGCCGCTAGTTTTCCTGGGACTGGATCATCAGCGCTACCATGTTCTCCGGTGTAACTGTAGCGTTTACACCGGTGAACATGGCCTGCCTCTCCAAGTCCCATCGACTGCAGGCGAAAAGGGTGTGCTCTGCGTTGTCCACAGGGAACTGGCAGTAAGCACACTCCTCGCTGTCTATCTCTTTAAAGCGCTGCAGGTACGAATTAAAACATCCGTGACCTGTCAGCGCTTGTGTCAAATAGTAGGAGACCTCTCCATGGTTCCTACTTAACCAAGTGGCGAGTGTCGGTATAAGGCGATAAGTCCATCGACCTTTTACCTCCCCGTCCCATCTTTTTTGCCATTTTTCGACGAGCCTGTGCCTCGCTTCGAAGCGGATGCGGTCCTTGCTGGGTCGATCTTCCTCTTCAGAGGAATTCGCCTCTTTGAGAAGGAGGATAATTTCCTCCCTCTCAAGCGCCAAAAGATCTGCTGGCGGGACACTTGCAAGGACCTGCACAGCGCTCGTAGATACTGTCCGATAAGCAGAGGCGATACGTGAAGTAATGCACCTCTGCGTGGACAGCATCTTTTTACAGATGGTTGAACATCTGTTTGTTCTCAGGGAGGGGGCCCACGCTGGTGCTGCATAAAGCAGCTTAGCGTGGGCGACACTCGCCACCAGTCTCCTTCTCTTCTCACGGGGGCCTCCAACATTTGGCATCACCCGTGTTAATTTAGCCGCACATTCGATCGCCTTGTTTGACGCCGTAGCCATGTGGTAATGGAAGTTTAATATTCCATCCAGTTCCACACCAAGGTACTTTATCTGTCTCCTCCACTTGACCTCGAATTCGTCTATCACGATTCGTGGGGATTTATAACCACGTCTGTCTGTGACCAGCAATGCTTCGGTCTTTTCCAGGGCCATTTGAAGACCTCTGGTTTCCAGCCAGCATTTTGCTAGCCGCAGACATTCGTTCACCAATGTCCCGAGAACTTCCGCCGAGTCGGCAGCGCACACGATCAACTTTTAAAGGAGAAATTTGACATTACTTTTAACAATGGTATCATAACGTCACTTAAGTCTTCCGTAAAATAGAGTCGAATTAATGAATAATGCCGCACTAGATATTTTTACGAAATGTAAAGAGACTAAATATTTTTAATGTTAAAATAAATTATCACTGATAAAACAGCGTCAGCCGAGAAACGTAATTGCATACTGCATCCTTTGCTAATATTTTCAATTCGTGTCTTTTTCAGCGTCAATCTCCAAGAATATAACACAAGACTCTACTCTCTTGATTCAGATTTTTAAAAAATAAAAGGTTGTAATTTAGATTAAGTACCGGGTATCAATAACTCGAACCTCAGCACAAGAATATCTCTACTGAGTAGAATAAATAGCGAAGTAATACTCCAACAAATTTTATTTTTAATGCACCATCTCAAATATTATCAGAATTGGAAAAAATTTTTCTTGAGGTTTTGAGTAACATATTAAATTTTACAAAATAATCTAAACAACTAGATTTATCATTATTTATTAATAAAAAATAAATGTTCAGTTGGTAATGAAGTTTTGGAATGACTATTGACATAACATTTTAATAATTCTTCTAATCTGTGTCTTATTGTCTGTTTTAGGCTTATCCAAAAAGGGATATTACCAATATTGTAGAATCGTCTCATTACATCAGAATAAGTGGGTGGTGTAAACCAGGAAAATCCAAATGCAAATTATCTCGATGGATAAAGCCTTATAGATGTCTAGGTAATAAAAAAATAAATATTTAATTATTTCTTTAATTCTTGCATTAATGTCGGATTACAACATTTCAGGATGTCCGCAAAATCTCATTTTCAAAATTCCCTGATTTTTCCCTGAATAATTTTTCTTATTCCTTAGTTAAAATTTTTTTGAACAATATAAAACAATCTCTTACTTTCCCCCCAAAAAAAATAACAAACAAAAAAATAATTTTTTTAATATTAATTTATGTCTAGGCTGATTAATACTAATTAATAATGTAATTTACTAATAAGGGCTTATTATAAAATTAATAACAAAATAAAAGAGAACTTGCTTTCTATTATTTAATTAATTCCTGCTAATTAAAAAAGAAAATTTTTATATATTTTATTAAAAAATAAAAAAGCATCGTACTTTAGTGGCTTGGCGGGTACGTTAACCATCGAAAGGAAAACAACCTCACAAAATAAACAGAAAATTAATTTATTTTCATCTTTCCCTCTTAAGCGGGTCAGATCAAGTAAGATAGTTTCTGGCAGCTTGGTGCCTCTGACAACCATTTAAATTTTATTCCTTTACCTTCACTACGAATAAATGGACAGACATTAAAGAGGGAAATTAATCTTTGTTAAACAAAGAAAATAAAGGTTCAATTTTATCTGGGTTTGTAACACTTATTATTTTTAATTTAGAGAATTGTTGCTCTCATACATTGTAAATGATTTTTATCTGTAACTTGCATACACAGTTTATTCCTAATGAGTGAGTACTTTAATCACGAAATATTATTGGGTTTTATCAAAAACCCAATAGGGGTTGAATTTTTGAAGAGTTATTACTTTAAAAAATATTTTGTTTATATAAAATTGTTATTAAAAAAATAAAAATTATTTAATTAATTTTTCATTTTCTTAAATGTTATAAAAAAATTATATTTCAAGAAACTTAAGAAAAACCAAATCTGTAACTTGTAAAAACAGCGGTACGTGTATTCGTTAATTAAGGGTTGTTTAAAAAATGCTATGTGTAAAAATTAATTAAAGTAGGTATTAATCGTTTACCTTGACTCGCACAATATATCATTAATTTCGTAATTAGGAACTGAAGTCGATGAAATGGATTATAAAAATTGTTTAAACAATTAAAAATCATTAATTTATAATAACTACTGAACTGGTAATTGCTTTTGGATCACAAATACAACAAATTATGTATGTGGCTTTCAATTACTAAAAGTTAAAATCAAACTATTTGCAATTAATCGGGTTTTGAACAATTTTATTTTTTTTTAAACTTTAACATTAAATAAACAATTGGAATTTTTTTTGTAAAAATAAAATCAGAGGTGTTATGCAGAATTTTATTATCTTAGAAACAAGACCAAGAACGTCAAAATCAGTTGAAATTTGTAGGCTCTATGTTAATTTCTCCACGGCCGTATTTTTTGTCCCACTGTGCGCCGCGTCATGAGCTACTCATATAACTTGTGCGCGTTGAGACTAAAAATTCCGTAACTTCTAAAGTTAAAGAGGATCCCACTTTTTTATTTTTTGATTGGAATCATGAAAAGTCCCTCTTCATAATTCTATTAAAAAATTGACAAAATCGATTGTGAACATTGTTTATTTATAAAATTAACAATTAAAAATATACTTTGTTTAAACAAATTATACTTTTTATGTTCTATAAATTTATGAAAAGTACGTTTCCTTATCTTTCACGAAACCAGTTTTATTGGAATTCGTTCAGCCAATTTCAGGATATTCAATTTTTTCTAAATCAATGCAAAAAAGTTCAATTGTTTATAACTTTTACAAAAATTAAAATTTTGAAAAATTGTTTGGGGGTCTTATTAATGATATAATTGACAATCAAAATATATATAGTATTGTTTTTTTTTACCTAAAAATAATTAGAGGGCCACTTCAGGAATTCTTACCCTTTTATTACTTTATTTATCAATATTTAAACTAATGTAAAATGATATTTCATTTATATATTATTTATTTTTTTGTTAGTATTTTTTTATTATGTTATATTGATTAAATTTGTTCTTCCTATACTCTTTTACTTTTTAGAATTTTTATATAGTTTAGATATTTACACATATGATGTATTCCACGCCAAAGTGTAAGTAGCAAGCCGTTTTCGAGTTATGGAATTTCGAAAATTGGAGAATTTTCATGACTTTTAATTTTTGCATGCTCATAACTTCCTTAAAAATGTATCAATTTTAAAAGTCTTTTTTTCAAAATGTGCGTTTTTACACGTACTTTTCAAGAAAAAATCGAAATTTTTTTAAAACAATATTACTATCAAATTTTTGAATTTTAATGATAAAAGTCATTTTTTTTAATTATTTACGAAACTTTTAAGCCTAGCCCGATAATGGGCAAACGGTTTTTACAATATTTTCAGAATTTTTCAAAAATTTTTGAATTTTGAATTTTTTAAAAATATTTTTTTTATACTACGTACTTTTATGTATTTTGATGCGCTGATTACGAAAATCATAGTGACAATATCAAAAATTTGATTTTTATGGTGAAAACCATAAAAACGTCACAAAATTTATGGTTTTTTTCGTTTGTTGGGTAAAATATGCAAAATTAAAAAAATGCATAAGATATAAAAAATGTATTTTAATAAGGTCTATAACTTTTGTTTGAATGTTTTTTTTTAGTTTTCATATTTTACCCAATAAACGGAAAAAACCATAAATTTAGGGACTTGTTTAATGGTTTTCACCATAAAAATCAAATTTTTAGGTATTGTCACTATGATTTTCGTAATCAGCGCATCAAAATACTTAAAAGTGCGTAGTATAAAAAAAACCAAAAATATTTTTAAAAAATTCAAAACTTAAAAATTTTTGAAAAATTCGGAAAATATTCTAAAAATCGTTTGCCCATTATCAGACTAGGCTTAAAAGTTTCGTAATAAGTAGTTTTTTTTAAATTTTGAAAAAAATCGATAAGTACGTCAAATGAGAAAAATGACTTTTTATCATTAAATCTCAAAAATTTGATAATAATATCGTTTAAAAAATTTTTTAGATTTTTTGTTTGAAAAGTACGTTTAAAAATGCACATTTAAGAAAAAAGACTTTTAAAATTGATGCATTTTTAAGGAAGTTATGAGCATTGAAAAATTAAAAGTCATGAAAATTCTCCAATTTTCGAAATTCCATAACTCGAAAACGGCAATATTAATTAGAAGGTTTCGTATGAATTTTATATCCACTGTCGGTAAGGTAGAGCAACTTATGTTCAGAAGAAGCATTACCGATATAACATTTTTCATTGCTTCCATATTTCATGAATAAAGTTGCAATTCTTTAGAAAAATGTGCACTTCTCTTATTAAAAATGCTTTGTTATACTTTTTAAATAAGTTTTAATTTACTTTTATGTCCATTTAAGTGTTTTTTTATCTTTAAATAACTCTACAAATGTCGTCAGTATTACAAGCTTCTGATAATTCCATATACCAGTAATAGCTGGTATATGAAATTATTCACATTCCATATACCAGTCATCGAGCTGGTATACTGAAATCAGGAGTCTTGTATATAATCTTTTTTACTGTGAAATTAATTCACGTTATTCCTTAAAATTTAGAAAAAACTGAAATATGGGCTCATGGGGCAACAATAGTTAGAGCTATTACGGCTCGATACAATCCTGCTAATGCGACTTGTTAATACTTGATATATCAATATTGAATAGTCTAAATCCAATAAAATAAAGAAAACGAAAATTTATTGATTTTCAATGACATTTTTATCTTTCGTATTCTTTTAACTATCTTTGCCCCGGTACTGGGGCAAGGATAGTTAATTTTTTTTTTACTTTTTCATTCGTATCTCGTAGTGATTTCAGTCTACAGCAAAATAATACATAGCAAAATTATAGCCAAAAAACCAGGCTTTCCAAAAATACTACTCGTTTGCAGATACAAATTCAGGTTTGGTCGCTAGATTCGAAAACTTCTTACCTAACTATTCTTGCCCCATTCTCCCCTAGTATTGTCAACTTGACCTTTTAAAATTTACTCGATTCAAATACGGCAAATTAATTTTTGAAAAAATATTTTATAAAATTCCCTGACATTCCCAGGTATTTTCTGACCGTAGAAACCCTGGTTTATATCCCAAGGGGGATAGAGTGAAATTTTATTTATTTATTTAATATTCTTTATTTTATTTTATTATTATATTTGTTTTATTAATATCAGTTTCGAAAGCTTTTTTGATGCTCTTTGGATTGGTAATATGCATTTTTGAAAAAAAATATTTGTCAAAAAAAATTAAACTCAAAAATTCAGCTTTCGGTTAAAAAAACATACCTTTCACCCCAAAAAAGTTTAATTTATTTTTGAGTTTTATGTTTTTGGTCAAAATTTTTTTTCAAAAATGCATATTACTAATCAAAAGAGTATCAAAAAATCGGACAAATGCGGAAATAATAATAAAATAAAGTAAGTATTAATAGTTTTTATGGTAAAATCATTACATATATTTTAAATTGATGTTATTACAAATTAAATTCGTGCATAGAGACTTTTGTTTGGTTTTATTTTAAAAAGGGGCTTCTGATTTCAAATTATGGGTCGTGTGCGTCCCATCAGGACTTAAAAGTCCGGAAAAGCAAAAGTTGCAAGGTAAATGAAATTCTTTATTTTATTGTTTTTATGCATACCACCTGAAACCAGAATAATTTTAAAAGCAAAATGCATTTTTGTTCGTACATTTTTGTTATTCCACTGAAAAAACTATTCAAAAATACTAACTCAGAATATTATTTTAAAAAACAAGAAAATAAAGGTATGTTCTATTTTTAGTAGCTATTTTTAATAAAAACTTCATAAAATATACACTGAAAAACTATTGGTTCAACAGCTGCCCCAAACGAAAAATTTCTACATCCAGTTAACTTTACTCATATAAAAACACATGGCAAATATTAGGTGTTAAGTTAATTAAATATAGAAATTTTTCGTTTGGGGCAGCTGCTGCACCAA